ACAGGATGTTTTAGGAATTGCTCCATACATTAGGTTATGGCATAGTTCCATGCCATAACGGTGCCTTTCATGTTTGTATAGAAACTGCTTTAGTAAGACTATGGAGCCGCATTTTATTTTTAGTTGCACCACTTTGACTGAGGTGTAGGGTCGGCAAAAACAGTCATAGAAAAGAAGAGAGGTTGTAGATCGACCAAGTGATCGCCAAGGGTTTCTCTTCATCTAAATGCAGTCGATTCTCAAGCTTTCGCAATGGCAGTATTACAACGAGTTGTAGCTAACACTGGAAGAATAGATTCAAAATTCAGAATGAGGCTGATATTGCTCACCTTATTCTTGATTGTCGCTGTCGATGGAGGCATTGTAGACAAAGTAAAAGGAGTGTTCTCTGGCGATGGTAGTTTTGGACAGAAACTGAAGAATGCCACTATTGTTGGATTCAAGAAGGTTCCCATTTCTCTTCTATTGTTAATGCTCTGTACCCTATTCCATCTCGGAATTTCTCTTTTTCGTTTCCGATTTCGAGAAATGTGTGACTTAGTCTCTCGATACAATTACAGCTCTTCGAAAATACGGCTCTATTCAAAATTCGCGACAAGATTAGAAGTATGAAGGACAAGGTTTTGAAGACATTGGAGTTAACACCAAAAATGATGAAATCGCTCCAAGAAAGGTTGAAGGTAACGCTGATAGTTCACTTCTCTTCTACGACGAAATGTCATGAGACTCAGAATGTTTCTCTATACCTCCCACTTGGTTGTGATGTATTTAGCAGAGACAACCATCTACTATGCTTTGTTAACGCCAGCTTGTACGTATCGAATTTTACAGAGACTTCGACCCATCAGGAAGGATAAAGTCGCAGAGAAAGGAGACTCAATCACTGACGTCAACGAATACAGCCAGGTTGGCAAAGATCTCTACCAGAGCGACATGGTGCTAACAGAGTATGTCACTCAATCAATACTTATTCGTATTCGTTGATTTCCCTTTCCACCGCCGTTGAAGGGAGCAAGCCGAGGAGATCGTGCAAGATATAGAAGATGAGGTTGCCTGGTGAAAATCGCGCAAAACGCCAAGCGTTCAAGGATCATAGATATCCAAATATGTTATGGTCAGAAGGAGTGAATTACTACTTCCATAAGCTCGCTAGTATGTGTAAAAATGTAGTACTTCGTGGATAGAGCGCAAAATAGATATGATACAACCATTGAAGGTAGAGAGATGAGAAGTTCATTCGAGAAGGGAGCGAAGCTATGGGAACAGGATACTTGCATCAATTTCACGCGGAACCCATTCGGTGAGAAAACACTAAAATTAATCGAGATGTGATTTCTCATGTTGTGGATCAGGATACGCGGCCTTTTGACGAGTCACAAGCCCCCATAAAAAGTTACTGTTTCAGCCAAAGATCGAATTATGGTATTCCCGGAGGACGGATGTTGGTCATACGTTGGAAAACTCGGTGGTGAGCAGAAACTGTCACTAGGAAGTGGCTGCGAAACAGTATCTATCGCTGCGCATGAGATTGGTCACGCTCTTGGATTTTTCCATACAATGTCCCGACACGATCGTGACGACTTCATCACTGTAAACAAGCACAATATCAAGGTAACCGATTGACAGTGCCGTTCAAGAATTGCAACTGAAGTTCAACAGTCGCTCCAATTTCCGTATTACGGAACGACACACCTCTCCTCGCTAGTCCATTAATATGGAGTGATCACATTATACCTTGATCCACCTGCAAGGCGCACAAGTTGTGTGTAATTTTAGAAGCCTGTGCAAAACTCGTGTGAATTTTTAGAAAGCCTGTCCAAAAGTCACTGGTCCCTCACGCTCTCAAACATTCAAATGCATCAATTCGCAGACAACATTGTCACGAAGTTAGCGAGCGAATGTACGGACTGTACTGTCATTACTCGCTCCCACAGTATCGCAAAAGCCTTTGACAGAATTTTCGAAAGGCTCGAGCTATATCTTCTTGAGCAGCATAGACAAAATCTTCTTTCCTGAACGGAGGCAGTTGAGGTTCTATGAAAATAACGTATTGTAGTGCAATGGGATCTTAAGCAGATTTCGACAACACTGTAAGCGTCACTTTTTCGGAAATTCGTAAACATCTTTGAGAACATGGTTCATCGTAGCAAAAGGATGTTTGCAGACGGTTCAGCTATCAGACTACAAACGCAGGCAACTGCACAGCTAAGGCCAAATAGTCTTTAAAAGTGCAGGGAGACTTGCGTGCATTACAAAAATATGTATCATTTGTCGGTCCTCTAGTTGAGCGAAGTAAAGAAACTATACGAAATAGAGACGCAGAGGTCATACTTTCAGGTAGACTGGCTAAGTCAATTCAATAAAGAAACAACGAAAACAAACGATAATTACAACATGACGTACGACTACGGCAGCATTATGCACTACGGCGGAACTAGGTATGTTTTTAAACAAAGAATCTAACCAATTTTCCACTCCATGATCATGACACTGCACTGACCTAATCGCTGTAACACAATTTGCGACATTCACTGAGTGATATAAAATGTTGGACAATAGCTGGTTGTTGACCCTACTGTTATTTAGTGCATCGTTCAACAAAAAGGGCCAACAATCGGTTCGGTTTGACATCTATTATCAGCAGACCCCATTGGTCTTCCATCATTTTTTCATCGAACTCTCATGTCAACATGAGCACTACGGATGCAAAGGTTTGATGGTCATCATTAGAATATCTCTCTGAAGATATACTGTACTCACTTTGAAAAATACTGATCCTTGCCAAAAGCCAGCTAAACTGTGGAGAAGAGCCATTTTTGCCACTCGAAAGTAAGCCGAATTCCTAGAACCAGGCATGCACCTAATTATAGCTTCTGTAGCCGTCGTGGCTAATGTCGTGGAATCCCTAGCTTGTGATCATTTCACTATTTGTTACCCTCACAATCCACTTCAGTACCAACTTTCAGTGCTCCGGTGGTGGGAGACTCTAACACATGGGAGCTGAATGCGGGTTTCATCAACAAATATATGTATAGTAATTGGTGCCGCCCGCTCACTTTCCCTCTGCTTCATCAATACGAACCGATAAGGATCAACAGAAGAAAGCGTTGCTGCTAACATGAACACTTTCAACTTTTTCATCACACTTTTTGTTACAAAATTCAGCGATCTGTAACAAATCTACATCGGTTAAATGCGAGATGGGCGGATTCCCTCATCCACGAGACTGCCAAAGATGCATATGTCCTGGTGGCTATGGTGGACCTCGATGCAATAAGAAAGTGAGCAACGTATCAGATATAACCGTCATCTAGAAGTTGGTGCCGAAAGTGTTTGCTTTAGCCAGTAACAAAGTGCAGCCATAAAATTTATGGCTTCCCTAACTCCGGACAGACTCGAGAGGATACTATTGGCCTTGGCCGTGGTGAGCAGGAAGATTTCGAGATATGTCACTACCGGATTAAGGTAAGTCTTAAATCCCAAAAAATAACAGGCCAATATCATAACTGGTGCTAACGGCTGACTGGCTCACCATGTTAAACGTGTCAGTGCTGAAAGGATACGGCATGAAAGCCAAGCAGAGAGGGTAAATGCGGCCTCGATGGCGTAAGAGTTAGCACACTGGCTCGGAAAGCGTGAATGCTGGTTCGACTTTTGCCAATAGTCAGCATTCTTGCAGTAGCAGGTCAATATTTTATCGACATATTCACGTAAATTTTACAATGGGAACTCAGTGGGGGAAGCAGCCCTTAATGACGTCTCTTGAAGTGTCGAGTAGTTACGGATCACTAATTATAATTGCCTTGTATTTGCAGTCTCCCAAGGGAACCGAAATCGAAGTAAAATTAGTGAACTTCACGAAAGGTCTATCTATTGACGGATGCCCTTATGCAGGTGTAGAGATCAAAACAAACAAGGACCAAACGCTCACTGGTTACAGGTATACTGTTTGAATAAATTAGAAGTGCGCAAAGGTATATTTGAAGGAGATCATTGCGATCGAAATGACAATTGACAGTTTCTCTCAGAATACTGGTCAAATTGACCGCAACAAAACCCATTCAAAAACCCTTAAAGAAGAAGTGAATTGAAGATTCTGCTCACCTGACGCGGCTGGAACAATTCTTCGTTCTTACATAAACCGTGTCCCAATAATGACGTATAACAGGATTGTCAAAACGACGACAGTGCTTGAATACGACACGGTACTGCTTTATTATTTCTTGTCTTGAAATCACTAAGATCAACCTGAAGCATCTAGTTCCTGCAAATTCACCAAGAGCTACGACTGCTACCTCTACTACCACCACCACTACGACAACGACAAAACGACCTGTTGTTCCATTCATAAATACAGGAACTGGCTCTAAATGCGAGGACAACCACTCGTAAGATCCTCTTCATATTACCCCGTCAAGAACTATTCAGAGGTTTTCCAGCTGCATGTCTCTTGTACCAAGTGGTTTCTGCAAAGGTCCACTATCGGAGGCTACCAAGAAGAAAGTGTGTCCGAAGTCTTGTGGCTTCTGTGATACTTTGCAATAACTCCACTCCGCATCAACTGCAATAAAGTCTGTTGCATCGCACTTGTATATAACATCACAATGCAGTGTGTATATTCGCGGATCTCATAGCTCAAGGG